CATTTCACTTGTATCTTCAGCTCAATTCATTGGCTCACTGTCTTCTATCAGGAGTCTATGTCTTTACATTCTACTTCTTTCTGATTGCATCTGGTTCTCATAAATCAATTCCAGATGAAACTGAGTAATCTTGCCCTATTACGCCACAACCTATATAATTCATCATTATCAGATCTATCCAAGCAAAATATTGACCCCTAGTATTCTGATTCCTCTCATGGGATTCAGGATTAATTGGGACCCTCTGTTATAAGTAGTAGACTATCTCCAAAATGGTGACCTTTGTCAGAAGTTTTGTTCTCTGACTCCAGCCTTAGGCTAAAACCTATATTTATTCCCAGAAGTGATCAGCTTTTTGAACTTTCAGCCATATAGTCAACTAGATCAGATTTCCATATATAGAGTCAAAGCAGAACTTAATAAACATTGAAGACAACCTATGCATTATAGGTTTAGATAATGATGAATTAAACAATAATTTCTGCTCTCAATTATTTTATAACTTAATAGAGAATATGGTAGAAGTACATCAATAATAATAATAATGAGTAAAACATCTGCAGTAAGAGTGGCATACTTTTATCTGAGCCTAATGAACAGAGAAAATATATTTTTTCAAGAGTTCAGGGTTGACTTTCCTTCTGTCCACCATTGTTGTTCAGTCACTAAGTCGTCTCTGACTCTTGGTGACCCAATGGACTATACTTCTCTGTCCATGTGGTTTTTGAGCAAGAATACTGGAATGGGTTGCCATTTCCTACTTCAGAGGATCTTCCCAACCCAGGGATCGAACCCACGTCTCCCAAGTCTTCTGCATTAGCAGGCAGATTCCTTACCACTGAGCCACCAGGGAAGGCTCTGTCCACTATGGCTAAATGTAAATAAGTTTTTTAAATTCTTTGAGTTGAAAGTTCTTTATTAAAAAAACTTAAATAGTAATACCTGCTTCATGAATCTGAAATCCGTGTGCACCAAGGACTAGGTAACTTGCTTCCTTCATCTGAGAAATCTGTTGTAGATATAATCTTTGTTGTGTTGTTGTGCTCAGACAAGTCCGACTCTTTGTAACCCTTTGGACTGTAGCCCATCAAGCTCCTCTGTCCTTGGGATTTTCCAGGCAAGAATACTGGAGTGGGTTGCCATTTCCTCCTCCAGAGGATCTTCCTGACCCAGGGATCAAACTTGCCTCTCCTGCATTGGCAGGTGGCTTCTTTATCACGAAGCCACCTGGGATATGAGGCTTATTCGCTCAAAATCAGGGGGCATTCCTGCTTTCTGTCCCTTGATTTCATCTTCCTGCCTAGAGCTGAGAGGCAGGGCCTTGTGGAGGACCAGTCTGAGGCTAGAGTGAGCTCAGCGGTGGAAGGCCCTATCCTGAGAATAAAAGAGAAATATTGGAGGAAGAGTTCAGAGTTAGTTAAATCCCAGTAAGAGACTTAGAAATGTAGAATTATGTCTTTGTACAATTTCTTTGTAAAACTTTAAAAGTATGTAAGACCTGCATGCCCATCCCCTGGGGCAATAAGAAAGTGAGGCCATTGTAGAAATCTGGTCACTCTATCAATTCTTGAAGAAAAGAGGAAGAGAAGAACCCCAAGTGCTGTTAACGTGGGCTGTGGCTGCTAACAAGTGGAGGAAAGGCGACTCGTGATTTGCTTTGAGAAATACCCATGTGGCTATGGGATTACCGTGGGGCCTCTTCTCAGGCCAGGATCATATGCTGTTGCGCTTTCAAGAACTTGTGGGAAAATTAATTGTTCTCTGGTATGGAAACCATGAGATTGAATTTGTTGAATATTTTCCTAGGTAAACAAAGTTTTGTGTTTTTTTTTTGTGTTTTTTTTTTTTTTGCTTTTTGCTTACTAATTCAGAAAACACAGCAACAACATTTATGTAGTTTATAGACAAGGAAAGAAATCACGTGTTCCTGACCAAATGAGTTAGTCATCATTTTATGAGGTTTTCCATATGTGTGTCATCAGACACTTTAGAATACCAAAGATAAAACTATTTGGCAGTTACTGAGTTATTTCTTAACAAGTTTAAGCATTGTTGATTAGAGAGCATATTAGACATATTCAGGTGTTCTCTCACTTGAAATTTGTAAATTTTGCATTTTTAAATTTTCAATTCAACACATGTTATACAAAGCTGTGCAAGTTTTGAAAGCTGAGTCTCATATATTTATAACTACAAAAAAATCATTAAAAGAAAAAATGATTCAAAATCTTTTCATGAATAATGTTGTCATAGGACTGACTTGAAAGTTTTGTCAGGGGACAAAAATCCTGAGAATTATGACACAGTAATCTGTAATATTAAAAACTGACCTTTTAAATGTCAATTTTCTTTTTCTTCCCCCTAATTTCTAAAACAAGTACAACAATGAAGAGTAATATAGAATACGTTCTAACTATGTACTAGGCACTATCCTAAACATGTTACATTCCCCTCCACACCCCTATTCGGGTAGGTTTGTTCTCATTACTCCCATTTTGTGTGTAAGGACACAGATTTAATGAGTGGAATACAGTGTCAGTAATAGAGATAAAAGAGCCTGTCATGATATCTGGGACCTTGATTTAGTTATCCCCTCTCATGAGTCATCAGATATCGCCCCTCCTTCCCATGACATCCTCTTTTGTCCACACAAATGCACAGATAAGCTCTAGTTATTGTTTTTTCCAAGCAGACAATGGGAGAGATACTAACATCATTCACACAATTAACTGCCACTTCATTAAATTGTGTATAATTAAATACACATTTCAGAGCTTTAGGCCAAACACTGGTCATCCATAATAACTCAGAAAATATTGATTTAGGCTTTAACATGTGCTGTGAAAAATTAAAAATTTATGGCCAGACAGATGTCCCCAGATGCTACACAAGCTTAACCTGGACAATAGCTAAGGCCCCCCACAGATGGGCCTTTTTCTCTAGCTTGTACCTCGTGTTGTTCCCTGAGACTGGCTTGTCCAGAGTCCCAGAGTATCTCACTGAGTAGCATGTGTCCTGCTGCCAACACCTTCTGGCTTTTATGTCAGTGGTCAAGAGCTCCCCATTCAAGTTAAAACCTAGTTCCATTCCTCACCAGGTCAATGGCCCTAAAAAAGTTGCTCAACCTTTCTATCCCTTTCTTTCATGTTATTTATATATAACATGGAGGTAACAGCCATACTAACTTATGAACAGGAGACAGTTTGGGTAAACTTCTTAAACCAGTACATGAATGCCTAAAGATTCAATAAATGTTTATGTTGAGTGAGATTTTAAAAGTATTATTTTGATGTGCTTCTTCAGTGTTTATAATATTTCTAAATCTGTTCTGAATGTGAATTATGTATGATGTTATCCTACCATTGTTTAAGTGACTAGTGAAAAGGCAAGTACAATATTTTAATATGTGTAGTTCATTATGCAGAAAAGGTAAAGAGTGAGAACTAGTTTTCTTTTCTTTAATATAAAAATCTAGCACCTAAAAGGTAATATATCTTTGGAAATTAATTTTAAAATATGTTAATATAAATGGAATTTTTGATATAAATTGTCTCACAGAGAAGGCAACAGAGATCAGCTTGCAGCCTAAATTTAATTGAATAGATTTCCAGGAGATGTCATGCCTTCTCACAGTGCCCAGTTCAAGTGGTCATACAAAATTTTCTTCTAATGTAGAATTTGAGCTTCCTTACATAGAGTACAGAAACCACTGCATTCCATAATTTTCTAGTCTATTGATTTTTGGTACCCATACATTGGAACATAAAATTGGTTGGTACTATGCCATGAGTAATGACAATCTAAGAACACAGGAAAAAGTCTGAATAGCAATAAGGACATATTAGCAAATCATAAGAATATTATTGCAAAAAATAATATTGGAAGGTTGTGAATCTCAACACCATTCCATGATACTAGAGAGATATTCATAAACATTTTACAGAGAAATAAATGAGTCAGTGAAAGAATGGCTTTATTTACAAAATATGGACTATCAAAAGTAAGTAGAATTTAAGCTTCATTTAATGGGAAATAATTTTATGGGAAAAAAAGTTGTATCTTAAAGTTGAGAGTATCCAGGGCCTTATTTTATTTTAGATAAATATAGGTAAGCAGACCTTCATTATTCCTATTTTGGTATATTAAAGTTTGAAAAATGATTCTGAAAAACAACTGTAAGCAGATGATTTGCCACTTACCTTTGAGATAACCCACAGAATCAACTAAATGTGACATCTGACCTTCACTACATAAGAGTCTTCTAACCCTGTGTAGTATAGACAGTGTACTCCAGAGTTTTGTTAAATGGTGCATTTTCACTTTATGCCAATAATGGCACTGGAACAGGAAATAAAAATGAATTGCTTCATATTTACCTTAAACATTAAATAAATGCAACAGAAATGATTTCAAGTCATCTCACTGACATGTTATTTCCAGCAAGTGAAAGGTCAGAGTGCTTTCTTTTTTAAATTTACTGCAAAGAAATATAAGTTAGTACAGAAAGGGGGATTTAAAGACCTCAAAACTCAGTTTTTTGTTTTTTTTTATGATAGCATTGATAGTCACATCTAGGAATACAGTTTTTAATTCTACTTTGTCAGCTGGCCAGCTATTCCAGATCCAGAGGGATGCTCCAAATCTGGCTTGAGTTATTTGACTATAATTTCAGAGAAACCAGTAGTGCCACTTTTGTGGCATTTAAATGATATTGTTGTGTCCTACATTGCTGAGTGATACCTTTAAAATAGACTAGGAGGTTGACATATTCTTTTTGTGCAGTATCACTAGAAAAGAGTTAGAATACTAGTCCCTAAATAAAAATATTTTTCTTGTAACAAAACTAAAAATTACTCAATCACCTGTCTATGTGTTCACAAATATCACCTTGGGGGTGTTTTCTACATTCTCTTTAGTAGTTCTGTCTACAACCCATTGTTAAGCTCGCTATTATTTTTGTGATTTATGAATATTAAGACTTGGTTTTCTTTTCCCTCTAGGATCCCCTGCCCTGACCGGAACTGGAACAATCAATGTCATAGTGGATGACATCAACGACAATGTCCCCACTTTTGCCAGTAAAATGTATTTCACAACAATTCCTGAAGATGCACCAACTGGGACAGATGTTATATTGGTAAATGCCTCAGATATTGATGCTTCAACCAATGCGGTTATCAGGTCAGTGCCTTTTCCTTTGTACATTTTGATTACTTTTCTCATTAAACATTAGTCTTTGGATGAAATGCATATAATGCTTCATTTCATTGGAAAAGCCACAGCATTAACACCTAACCCTATTGTGACTGAAAGTAAGTGAAAGTTTTAGTTGCTCAGTCATCTTTGACTCTTTGTGACCCCATGGACTGTAGCCCACCAGGCGCCTCTGTCCATGGAATTCTCTGAGCAGGAATACTGGAGTGAGTAGCCATTCTTTTCTCCAGGGGATCTTCCTGACCCAGGGATCGAACCCAAGTCTCCTACATTGCAGGCAGATTCTTTATTGTCTAAGCCACCAGGAACTATTGCTAAATAACCAACTATGCCTAAATGAGGATTAAAACAATAATGATCTTATTGTTCTAAAATTTTATCTTATTAATTTTATTTATATTCTTACTGCATTTCATTCTTTGGTAATTTAGGAACTAGGACACAGGTCGGGGGAGGAGATTTTCATGCTTCATGTGGTTGACTAGTGTCACTTAGAGGTATTTGCCTTGTGACTGTCTGGAGGACCCAAGATGGCTTCACTCACATGCATGGTGCCTTGGCAGGGATGGCTGGAACATCAGGCTCCATTGAGCCCCTTCTCTGCTCTTGTGGTCTCAGGGCTTTTTAATGTGGTTCTTCAGCAGGGTAGTTGGACTTCTTTATAGGCAGAAAAACCTCTGGGTTCCAAGGACCTCAGGTGAAAGCTACTAATGTTCTTAAAGTGGCAATTGAAGTGGCAATGCATAACTTCTGGAATACTTTGTCATAGCTGTCATGCCCAGCCCAGACTCCCTGGGCTAAAACCTATGTGTGAAAACTCTTCAAATAACTATTGTCTCATATAGTCATATATAATACAAATTGATGCTATTTTTATCTTGCAAAAATTATCATATCCACTTTAAAATTAGGACAGTTCAGCTCAGTTCAGTCGCTCAGTCATGTCCAAACCTTTGCGACCCCATGGCCTGCAGCATGCCAGGCCTCCCTGTCCATCACCAACTCCCGGAGTTTACTCAAACTCACATACATTGAGTCAGTGATGCCATCCAACCATCTCATTGTCTGTCGTCCCCTTCTCCTCCCACCTTCAATCTTTCTCAGCATCAGGGTCTTTTCAAATGAGTCATTTCTTCACATCAGGTGGCCAAAGTATTGCAGTTTCAGCTTCAGCATCAGTCCTTCCAATGAATATTCAGGACTGATTTCCTTTAGGATTGACTGGTTTGATCTCCTTGCAGTCCAAAGGACTCTCAAGAGTCTTCTCCAACACCACAGTTCAAAACCATCAGTTCTTAGGTGCTCAGCTCTCTTTATAGTCCAACTCTCACATCCATACATGACTAATGGAAAAACCATAGCTTTAAATAAATGGACCTTTGTTGTCAAAATAATGTCTCTGCTTTTTAATAAGCTGTCTAGGTTGGTCATAAGTTTTCTTCCAAGGAGCAAGTGTCTTTTAATTTCATGGCTGCAGTCACCATCTGCAGTGATTTTGGGGCCCCCCAAAATAAAGTCTGTCACTTTTTCCACTGTTTCCCCATCTATTTGCCATGAAGTGATGGGACCAGATGCCATGGTCTTAGTTTTCTGAATGAGTTTTAAGCCAACTTTTTCGCTCTCCTCTTTCACTTTCATCAAGAGGCTCTTTAGTTCTTTGCTTTCTGCCATAAGGGTGGTATCATCTGCATATCTGAGGTTATTGATATTTCTCCAGGCAATCTTGATTCCAGCTTGTGCTTCATCCAGCCCAGCATTTCTCATGATGTACTCTGCATATAAGTTAAATAAGCAGGGTTACAATATACAGCCTTGATGTACTCCTCTCCCGATTTGGAACCAGTCTGATGTTCCATGTCCAGTTCTAACTGTTGCTTCTTGACCTGCATACAGATTTCTCAGGAGGCAGGTCAGGTGGTCTAGTATTCCCATCTTATTACAACTTAAATGAAAAGTATTTTCCCATTCTATTAAATAATTAGGCCAACCTCAACCTTATATACTCTGGCTTGCTTTGTTTTTAATGTAATATATATTTTGGATGTTAATCACTTCTTGCTACTCATGGAATCCTGGAGAAAATCCATCTTCTCCTCTGGTTAATAGAGATTTTGTGTATTGATTTCCATATTAGCTACTTAAATACTATGTATTTAAGCCATTTTACCAACTACTGATGGGTTCTCTAAAAGCACAACCTTTTATGTGTGATGTTAATTTTCCTGTATAGTCTAATGTGATCTTTTACACAACAGCTATCCAACAAATATTTGTTTATATTCTTCTTTCTACCAGTTTGATCATGTTATACCTTTTAATGGATGGTGTACTTAGAGTTTTACACTTTATATAACATTTAATATTTTCCCTTGTAGAAAACCAGCCTGTGTTAATTCCCAGTCTTTATCTAATTTTTATCTTTGCTTCTCAGACACCCATCCCAGAATTTAGCTTTTATAGAAATGAATTCCTTTTTTCCCCCAACTGACCAAATGTCCATTCAAACCTCACTTGTAATTATTTTATGTCATAACATTGGAGAACGTCACAAAACTAAATCGGCAGAGTGAACATCCAAAGGTAAATCCCTTATTCTGTGCTCTTGATTGCATCCCATTAGATTTCCTTCAGATCTTTAGTTCAACAGATACTACATTTCTCTCTGGATCTTCAGATACTCCCTCATTCCTGGATCACATCTTTATCCCTCCAGAAATGCTCAGAATATCTGGTATTGAGTTCTGGTTCCTATTTACTTACATGACTTATGAAAGTCATTTTAATATCTTTATGGCTCCGTATGGAGCTTCCCAGGTGGTGCTAGTGGTAAAGAACCTGCCTACAAATGCAGGAGACATAAGAGAAGTGAGTTTGATCCCTGAGCTGGGAAGATCCCCTGGAGGGCATGGCAAACCACTCCAGTATTCTTGCCTGGAGAACTCTATGGACAGAGGAGCCTGATGGGCTCTGGTCTACGGGGTCACAAAGAGTTGGACACAACTGAGTGACAGTGTACACACACCCAAGGCTCAGTATATCCATCAGTAAAAGTGGAGTTAAGAATTGCTGCCTTCCAATTTGTGAGAATTAAATATTGATATATACTGACCACCTACTAGGTGGATCGAACCTAAGTATCTTATGTCTTTTGTGTTGGCAGGCAGGTTCTTAACTGCTAGTGTCACCTGGGGAAGCCCATATGTGAAATCAGTTATGTGCAAATGTCTCTTACACATAATTGTGGTATTAAAATTACTAAATTTATGTTAGTGCTTTTCTTTATAGCATTCTAATAACTATTTTATTCCTAATATATTCTTTCTTGAAAAAACATCTCCAACATAATAGTGACTGGCACCTAAAGAAATGCATTAAATGAGTAATTCTAATATTCTTTAGAAATTTAGGATATTCTCTACTCACATTTTTTTTACACCTCATTTTTGAGAGGGTAGGTTACTACCTCAAAGCTTTCTCGAGCCAGTTATTCTTAAAAAATCTCTCAATGAAACTTTCTCCTCCATTGCTTTACCAGAAAAGACTGTTTGAATATTTATCTCTGAATCCTTATTTCTCTTCACCGTTTGCATCACGGGTCATCCTTTCTTACTGGCATTTTGTTTTCTCCTCAGTGTCTGTGTCAGTGTTATTTCTTATTTCTCACTCTGTATCTCTAACCACACTTTCTAATTTGCCTTCTGTGTTTCCTCTTTCTCTCTTCACAGTAATCTGAACATTCCCCACAGCACGTTTGCTCAGCACTTTTCTTTCTTTTCATGTGTGTATGAAAGACAGACAGAGAGAGAAAACAGAGATTTACCCATTTCCATGGTTGCACCTATGCAGAAAACATCTAGGAAACTATGCAGAAAACCACCAAACCTGTTTTATCAACTGACTCCATTCCAGAGATTCCCACCCATTTTTGTAACTCTCCAGGAGGCACTTCTACCTAGAGATTCTGCTGGAATCATAAGCACAACATATCAGAAGCTCCTAACTTTTCTGTTTCTCATCTTGGCATTCTGCTTTCTTTTACTGATACTGTCTCACTTTCTTTGTCTTCCTGTCCCGATGGCTTACAGTCATCTTTTCCACCTCTGTATTCCTTTTCTGTGTATTCCTCCTGCCAAGATCCTAATTCAGTCCATAATTATATCATGCCCAGATTAACATAATAAAAATTAACTTACTTTTCCAACTCTGATTTATAATCCTTCCAATCTATATACCACACTCTTCTGTATAAGGGCTTCCTATATGGCGCTAGTGTTGAAGAACTGCCTGCCAATGCAGGAGATTTATGAGACTCAGGTCCCCTGGAGGAGGAAATGGCAACCCACTCCAGTCTTCTTGCCTAGAGAATCCCATAGATCCGGGAGTCTGGTGGGTCATGGTCCACAGGGTCGCAAAAAGTCGGACCCAACTGAAGCGACTTAGGATGCATGCATGCATCCTGTATAATTTTGAGGCCCTTATGACATCCCAGGTACTTTGCTAAGTTATGAGGAGTTAAGCATTTCAGTTCTCATAAAGAGAAATCTTTAATATAGAAGGTAATTTTGCTGTATTACAATTATAGTGCCTTGTAACAAGCGTAGTTTAAACACAAAATGTGTGGGAACAAGAGCATAGTCAGTGACACCTGAGGAAATAAATAGAAGCTTTGAGTGACTGATGATTTTTGGAAAGAAGAGGAATAGTTTATGAAAAAATAAAGGATGGAAGGCATTCTAGGCAAAGAAACAGGTACAAAGGTAAAGCTCTGCAAAAACATAGCATCAGAAAAATAAAGCTATTCAGTATGGGTGGTATGGGTTAGGGATGAGTCTTGTATACCATATAAGAAGATTCACATTTTTTGTTTTTTTGCATCTAGTTGGAGAAACAACTGAAATGTTTTAAGGTGGCCAGTAACATGACTAGTTTACATTTTATGATAATTCCTCTCAACTTTGTAGGAAGCAATTTGGATGAAGCAGAGTCAGTCAGTGAATGAAAGAACAATGGTAGTAATATGTATTTCAGCTTTAACAGTGAAACTCCCCCATCCTCAAAAGCTTTTAACTTTCAGTTTGCTTAGGGCATAAGGCTTAGTCTGCATATTCCAGCCACTCCGTAAACGGCCCCAGCATCTCTCCAAACTTATTCTACACAAATCTTCAATGGATAGCCAAACTTTCAGACTCACTGGATCACTTTCTGCTTCTGGGAAAAGGATTTGTGCTTTCCCAAGTATTCTGGCTTTGTTCAAGTCCTTCTCTATCTTAGAGCAGGGTTCTCCAAACACAACCTGCAGGCCAAATTCTGGCCAGAGCCTACTTTTGTAAACAAAGTGTTACTGGAACATAGCCATGCCTATTCATGTGTGTATTGTCTATGACTGATTTTGCATTACAAGGGCAAGCTGAATGCTGCAACAGAGATCTGATGATGTAAACAGCTGAAAATATTTACTAATATTACTAATATTTACCAAAATATTTACTAATTTAAAATATTCACTGATCCTTTATAGCAATTTGTTGACTCCTAGCCTAGAATACCTTCATTCTCCCTTTTCATTACTATTGTAAGATGTGTGTGTGATCAGTCACCACCAACTCTTTGTGACCCCATGGACTGTAGCCCGCCAGGCTCCTCTGTCCATGGGATTTCCATGGGTTCCTATTTCCTACTCCAGGGGATCTTCCCTGACCCAGGGAGTCTCTTGCATCTCCTGGGCTGGCAGGCAGATTCAGCCCTATTGTAAGATGAGTAACCCTTTTAACTGAGTAACCCCTTTAAATCTTAACCTAAATTTATTCTTCTCCAGGAAAGCCTTTTCAAGTCAAAAGTGATCTCTTTGTCTTCTGATTCCCTGAAACAATGCTTCTGAGCAGTTTCAGAGCACTTAGCACTTAAATATATGGCCTGGTTTTGCATTTACTTTTTCATGTATCTTTCTTCTATCTAGGATATAAGCTTGAGTTCAGAATTTTTTTACCTACTTAATCCATGTTTCTATTTGTTAGTTCATCTTACCCAAATATAAGGGCTTCCCAGGTGGTGCGGGTGCTAAAGAATCCACCTACCAATGCAGGAGACATAAGAAATGTGGGTTTGATTCCTGGATCAGGAAGATCTCCTGGAGGAGGGAATGGCAACCCACTCCAGTATTCTTGCCTGGAGAATCCCCATGGACAGAGAGCCAGGTGGGCTACAGTCCACAGGGTCGCAAAGAGTTGGACATGACTAAATTGACTTAGCATGCATGCACACATCCAAATATAAAGATGGATTATAATAGATTAAAAATGATAGTTTTTTTATAGCTATGTGTGTATATTGTTATGAACATAAACCTAAATTTTGAATTTGTATCACATACTAATTACAATGCCAGGTGCTTTTCAAAAGAAATTACATTTGACACTCAAAAACTACCAAATGGAAGGAATACATACATGCATAAACTTTATAGATAGAGAAGACTTGGAAAGGTTAAGAAATTTTATGAATTTAAGTACTTGAGTGAGATCAAAATTCATGTCCAAGGGAACTATGTTCCAGAGTTCAGTTTCTAAACTATTACTAGATCATCATATTCTAGCAGCCCACAACACAGTTCATTATGATCATAGTAAATCTCAGGAAGAGGTTAAAAAAAGATTCACAAAATCAAATGGGGATAATTCAGCTTTACAAATGCAACAATTGATTGAGATTTTAGATAATAATGATCTGTTTATACCAGTAATTTGAAACATAACTTCTTGAGTCAGAAAATAAATAAAGATCTTTGTTGATTTATATTGAACTCTATGTGCTCATTCTCTTCAGCCCTGTCCAACTCTTTGAGACCTCATCTACCTTAGCCCACCAGGTTCCTCTGTCTGCGGGATTTCCCAGGCAAGAATACTGGAGTGGGTTCCCATTTCCTTTTCCAGGGGATCTTCCTGACCCAGGGATCAAAACTGTGTCTCTTATGTTTCCTGCATTGGCAGGCAGGTTCTTTAACACTAGCGCCATACGATAAAGAACTAAATCATTGTAAACCAATCCTACATCAGCACACCTTCACCAGAGTTGTTTTGGGCTTAACATGAGCTACAGCATTTCTTGTCTCCCCTAAAACCCTCCCAGGCTGTGTCTCAGCTTCCTTCTACTGTAGGATAATGGGAAAAGTGCACATTGAGGTCATAAAGACAGAAGTTGAAAGTCTTCATCTGCCATTTATAGACTTTATGCACCTTTGTGCAACTATATTAGCCTCCCTTAGACTCAAATTCCCCTCAATTAAAAATCTAGTACAAATCCACACTATTAGGATGGTTCTGAGGCTTAAATGAGGAAATAAATGAAATCCTTGTCGTCTGCTGAGTACTCCCTAAAAACTCAATAAGATGCTACAAAACTGTAAAGAACAGCATGAAAGAAAGAATGAAAATGTTAGTCATTCAGTAGCCTGCCAGCTCCTCTGTTCGTGGGGATTCTCCAGGCAAGAATACTGGAGTGGGTAGCCATTCCCTTCTCCAGGGGATCTTCCTGACCCAGGGATCAAATGTGGACCTCTTGCGTTGCAGGCAGATTCTTTACCATCTGAGCTATTAGAGAAGCATAGGTGTTTAGATTTAAGAAGGTAGCACAAGACTTGATCTAATAAAGTTCATAACCATAAAAGAAACTAATTTGGATCAGAGAAACAGTACAGAGATTCATCAAAGATGAGAAATGAACCAAAACAAACAAACAAAAAGAATGAAGTGGGGAAAACCCAGGCATATGATCTTGGCAATCTGTTCATTTTATATTGTCACCTATGCTTCTTTTATCTCTCTCTCTCTCTTTTTGTTTTAACTTACAAGTATAAACTTGATTAAAACTGGTATTAGAGATACTGTGAGATAGTAAAGGATATCTAGTATTTAGGATACACTTTTCATACATTTCAGAAACAAAGAAAGTCTGGAAAAAGTTAACCACAAGTTAACATGGCAATTTAGTCTTTATTTTTAAAAATAGTAAATATATTAGCTACTTTTAAACAGACAGTCTTGTGTGCAATAGCATAAAATAAAGACTTTACAGTTCAAAGTTCTTTCATGGATTATTGAGTTCAGCATGGGCCAGAACTCTCATCATTTGCCTTTCAACACATTGCTCAATCTAATATACCATGACCTTCTCATATACAAGACATCCAAATCAAATTTGCATGCTTTTTGCATCCTTCTTATTTTTATATGTGCATGCTTAAGGGAACAAATATGTGATTGAACCCTGACCTTTGCTGTCATAAAAAAAAGCCTGTAGCACTATGAAGCACTTTTTCTCTCCCTATTAAGTTATCTCAAAATAAAATCACATAATTCTCATAACCCAGGTTTCTACAGACTTTCTTTAAAAGCTAAGACAATGTGATTATTTCATGACTCCTGAATTTCTAACTTCCAAACCTATGATATTTTTAACATCTGGAATAGGTGTTGTCTACTGTGTAAGGGTATTAATAATCTGTAATAATTCTTTTATGAGGAGTCACTTCTGGTCCAGGAAATAGTCTTTGTTGTTCTTACTCCTGATCTTGCACGTGAAGTTGCCATAGGATGTTCGAATCTGAGTGATGCAAAGTACTTTATTAATTTTGAAATCAGTTCTCAACCAAACTCCCTGTCTATGCTCTGTCTATTTAGCTCTCATTTTATAGAACCTCTTTTGTTAAAACAAAACGAACAAAACAGCACGTAGCTCCTTAACAGTTCCTGATGTCTCTAAAAAAGGATGAAGGTGCCAAAACGTTGGTTTTAAACAATGAACTTAATAGGAAGAATGTGCGCTGGCTGCGATGTAAAGTTTTTCCTGCTGTTTCTATTAGACACTTGCTGTTGCTATGTTTTTATGGACACAGAGCAAACGGTAGAAACACCCGTTAGTTCCAACAAGGGCATTTGTTTGTTGGCATGAAGGAGAAGACTTGAAAGAGATCCATTTCCTCATTTCCTCGCTACCCTCCAACAGAAAACATTCTGGACCACAGCCAGCTTCTGAACCTTCAAGCTTAGCTACTTCTTTCCTAGCTGAACTCTCAGAAATATACACAGATAGCCTTTTCTTTAGAAAGAAGAGAGAAGCTATTCTCAGTGGAAACTCCTGCCCACTAACCAATCTGGTTAGCATCAAAATATCCATGAAGATGTCATACCACTCCTTACAACAGGAAAGCAAAGCAGTGTGGCCATATGAGGAATAGCAAATGAGAGAATTAGTAACTAGGAATGTCTCTGTATAAATAATCAGTTCTTGAGCTGTTCTGGATAGTCGATATCTGTCACATACAGTGTTTGGTCTTTAGAGAACAAGACCTTCCACTGATCTTTTCAGGTATATTATGGCACACAGCAGATAAATACTTTTTAGATGTATTTAACAGATGCTCATCTGTGATCCTGGCTACTGACCACAATATTAGAACAAGAGCCTGATTTATGCTTTCAGGCTGGTTTATTTAAAACATGATAGTCTTCTGGGTATATTCTGGGGACTTGCATGATTTAGGAAGCTCACAAACCTTGTGAAGACCTGCTTGAGGTCATAGGACATCTTGCCATAAAGGCTGTTAATGTGATGCTCACATAAAATGTGAACTAGCATAGTCTTTCATTGTTCTGTGATCTTACTTGTAATGTTTTCCCTGACTTTTCTGCCTCGCTCATTAAAATTCTAGTAAATAGATGTTGCAGCATTAAAACTGGAAGAAATATGCCCATGTCTATTCTCTGCTTTAGTTATAGGATCATTGGTGGAAATTCTCAGTTCACCATCAACCCATCCACAGGACAAATCATCACCAGCGCATTGCTAGACAGGGAAACAAAAGAGAATTATACTTTAGTGGTTGTTGCCAGCGATTCTGGGTCCCCGGAACCTCTTTCCAGTTCCAGCAGTGTGCTCGTCACAGTGACTGATGTCAATGACAACCCACCAAGATTTCAGCATCACCCGTATGTCACACACATCCCATCTCCTACTCCGCCAGGTAACCAAACTGCCTCTGATGTCTCACAGATAAATAAAAACTATGCATTGGACACTTCCTATAAGTACATTTCTGTTTTTTCTACAGGTATATTTCTGACGTAGCTAAAGTTTGCAAATCCTCTAAAATTCAACTCTTGCCTAAAGCAATTGAAGGAACATTGACTCTTGCAAACTATTTTTTTCTTCTCAGACCAATTGTATTTAAGATTTCATAATTGCCACAGCTTTCCTAGGGCTGTTTCTTAATTTTAATTGAATATTGGTAAATATGAAAATAGATTTCACTTTGTAGTCAAGTAGATTTCTGTCCTAAGATGTAATTTCTGTGTGCCCTGATAGGAAGGACATTATCTATATTTCATGCCATGTCCTTGCATTATACCTGAAACATTATCTTAGAGGTACTAGGCTCTCAACTATATTCATTAATACAAAATTAATATTTTATCCAATGCTTCATAGACAAATTTTCAAAAGGTTTATTGAAAGAATCCTTCTAACACATATATATGGAATTTAGAAAGACGGTAATGATAACCCTATATGCAAAACAGAAAAAGAGACACAGATGTACAGAACAGACTTTTGGACTCTGTGGGAGAAGGTGAGGGTGGGATGTTTCGAGAGAACAGCATGTATATTATCTATTGTGCAACAGATCACCAGCCCAGATGGGATGCATGAGACAAGTGCTCAGGCCTGGTGCACTGGGAAGACCCAGAGGGATCAGGTGGAGAGGGAGGTGGGAGGGGGGATCGGGATGGGGAATACATGTAACTCCATGGCTGATTCATGTCAATGTATGACAAAACCCACTGCAATGTTGTGAAGTAATTAGCCTCCAACTAATAAAAATAAATGAAAATAAATAAATAAATAAAAAATAAAGATTCCACAAAAAAAAAGGAAAGAATCCTTCTAATTAATTACTACTATAAATATTTTTAACTTAGTTTTAATGGGTGAAGTTTTTTCTATTAATATGTGTATGGAGCCAATAATGAACCATGTTCACATTGACAATATGTATTTATCTTTCAAACCCTCTTTTAAGTTTAGTTTGGATTTATTTACTTCTTTGCAAAGAATGTCCTACTCTCTTAGGAACTGCACAAATCATCTGCCTTTGGTAATTTTTGAAATAAATTTTGAAACTGGAAAATAAATAAATGAAGTTACAATTAATTTAATTTTCTCTCCTTTAAGATATTTTTAATGAGAGGGAAAAAAAACAAACAAAACAGATCCACAATTTCGCCTCTAGTGAATTTTTATCTTCTATTCACTTGAGAGGGTCTAGTTGCTACCAGTTGAAAGTTATAAAATCCATAAATTTTTTGTGCCAACTTTTTATCAAAAGAAAAAGCCAGTATCAAAGTCATGAATCCCTGGAGTGGGCCTTCAGCTGAAATGATGCTGGGAGGCATGAGTCTAGTTATACCCCGTGTGTAATGATGCAATAGAACATCTCCTATACAAAATGAGTAAGACTTGGGCATTTTCCCCCCTCATTAAACGTATTGTAATTTAGCAGAATCACTGGCCTTCTTAAAATTAGACTATTTTTCACTTGTGTCACACACTCTTCTGCAGGGGCAGGAGTGCGGGTTTGGGACAGGTTTCTGAATAAGTCTATCAAAAACATGTCCTCATGGCAGATTTTCAGCACTATCTACTGTATAGTCTGTTCCTTTTTGGCCTTCATCCCAAGCACTAACTTTTGGAATACAAATTGAGTCCATTCTTCAATTCTTATTTCTTACTACACTGTAATTGTTCATATATATGTGTGTATGTATACTTTATAATTGTTGTAGTACACACACATGTCTATACACACACATTCATATGTATACTTTATCTCCATATGAGAATAGCTCACAGATAAAAAAAACTTTTCCCATAGAACAGTGGGCATGAGGAATTGAAAATTATTTTTTAAGCATATTATTTTTGTTTATATGATTACATAAAATGTAATTCAAAATATTTTAAGACATAATAGAGCAATTATGTGTTTTTTCTGTTGGGCAGAAACATAGTTCTTAGCAGAACTCGTGTATTATTGTGTTTGTTGGAAGTTATGTACAGACTCTTCTCCTAAGAACTATAAGTTGGAATGATTAGCCATTGCTCTTCCCGGTGCTTCTCTCAAAGGTGCACTGAAAAATATTAAATTCCATAGATTGTCTGGCTTTTAGGTAGATAATGGCAGGTCAGTCCCTCAAGACTACTGTTAAGTAGATTTGACTGGGGAAATTTTGAGACAATATAAGATATACTGTTCTCCCCTAGTAATCGTGAGAAAATAAACTTGTATCAGGTAGCAATGTAGTGTTTTATATATAGTTTTAATATACTGTTTTAACTTACTATCAGATGTTTTATTGGACTTCCATGTGATTGATAACTGCACACTCCCTCTTTTATAGGTTCCTTCGTCTTTGCAGTTACTGTCACGGATGCTGATATTGGACTGAATTCTGAACTCCATTATTCTCTTTCGGGTAGAAACTCTGAGAAATTTCACATTGACACCCTGAGAGGAGCTATTATGGCAGCCGGACCACTAAATGGCACTTCAGAAGTGACATTTTCTGTCCACGTAAAAGATGGTGGCTCAGTCCCAAAAACAGATTCTACAACAGTGACTGTTCGATTTGTGAACAAAGCAGATTTCCCTAAAGTCAAAGCCAAAGAACAGACTTTCATGTTTCCTGAAAACCAACCAGTAGGCACTCTTGTCACTACTGTAACAGGGTCCTCCTTGAGAGGAGAACCTTTGTCCTATTATATTGCAAGTGGCAATCTTGGCAACACACTCCAGATTGATCAGTTAACAGGACAGGTTTCCATAAGTCAGCCTCTAGATTTTGAAAAGATACAAAAATATGTTGTATGGATAGAAGCCAGAGATGGAGGTTTTCCTCCTTTCTCCTCCTATGAGAAGCTTGACATAACAGTGTTAGATGTCAATGATAATCCTCCTGTCTTTAAGGAAGATCCATTTGTATCTGAAATATTAGAAAACCTTTCTCCTCGAAAAATACTCACTGTTTCTGCAGTGGACAAGGACAGTGGGCCCAATGGACAGTTAGATTATGAAATCATTAATGGCAACAAAGAACATAGTTTCAGTATCAATCATGCCACTGGCGAAATTAGAAGCATTCGACCTTTAGACAGGGAAAAAATCTCTCAGTATGTGCTTATTGTAAAGTCCTCAGACAGAGGCTCCCCTTCTCAGAGTACCTCAGTAAAAGTCATCATTAACATTTTAGATGAAAATGATAATGCCCCGAGGTTTTCGCAAATATTCAGTGCCCATATTCCTGAAAATTCCCCACTAGGGTACACAGTTACACGTGTCACAACTTCTGATGAAGACATTGGTGTAAATGCAATTAGTAGATATTCTATAATGGACACAAGTCTTCCATTTACCATTAATCCCAGCACTGGGGATATAGTAATTAGTAGACCTTTAAATAGAGAAGATACAGACCGTTACAGAATCCGAGTTTCTGCACATGACTCTGGATGGACTGTAAGTACAGATGTCACAATATTTGTGACAGATGTCAATGACAATGCTCCAAGATTTAGCAGACCCTCTTATTATTTAGATTGCCCTGAACTTACTGAAATTGGCTCCAGAGTGACTCAGGTATCTGCGACAGACCCTGATGAGGGATCAAACGGACAAGTGTTTTATTTTATAAAATCTCAGTCAGAGTACTTCAGGATTAATGCCTCCACAGGAGAGATTTTCAATAAACAGGTCTTAAAATATCAAAATGTCAGTGGCTTCAGCAACGTGAACATCAACAGACATAGTTTTATCGTGACATCTTCAGATCGAGGTAATCCTGCATTACTTAGTGAGACAACAGTTACCATAAACACAGTGGACAGTAATGACAATGCACCACAATTTCTTAAAACTAAATATTTTACTCCAGTCACCAAACATGTTAAAGTTGGAACAAAGTTAATCAAAGTTACTGCAGTAGATGATAAAGATTTTGGCTTGAATTCTGAAGTGGAGTATTTCATTTTGAACGAGAATCATTTGGGAAAATTTAAGTTAGACAATAATACAGGGTGGATTTCAGTAGCAGCTCCCCTGACATCTGACCTGAATCAAAACTTTTTGATCACTGTCACTGCAAAAGATAAGGGGAACCCTCCACTTTCATCCCAAACAACTGTTCAAATAATTGTAACGGAGGAAAACTACCACACACCTGAATTCTCTCAAAATCACATGAGTGCAACCATCCCTGAAAGCCATAGTGTCGGAGCCATTGTTAGAACTGTTTCTGCAAGAGATAGAGACACAGCTATGAATGGCTTGATTAGGTACAGTATTTCCTCAGGAAATGAAGAAGGCATCTTTGCAATCAATTCCTCCACAGGTGTATTAACACTCGCCAAAGCCCTTGATTATGAGCTCTGCCAGAAGCATGAGATGACTGTTAGTGCCACAGATGGAGGATGGGTCTCAAGGACTGGTTACTGCAGTGTGACTGTAAATGTGATTGATGTGAATGACAATTCTCCAGTATTTCTCCCTGATGAATATTTCCCCACTGTTTTGGAAAATGCCCCCAGTGGGACAACAGTTATCCACCTAAATGCAACGGATGCTGACTCTGGCTCCAATGCTGTGATTGCCTACACTATACAGTCATCTGATAGTGACCTCTTTGTCATTGACCCCAACACTGGAGTCGTCACCACTCAAGGCTTCTTGGATTTTGAAACCAAGCAGAGCTACCATCTTACTGTGAAAGCTTTCAATGTCCCCGATGAGGAGAGGTGCAGTTTTGCCACTGTTAATATCCAATTAAAAGGGACAAATGAATACGTGCCTCGTTTTGTTTCCAAACTTTACTATTTTGAAATCTCAGAAGCAGCTCCTAAAGGTACTATTGTTGGAGAAGTATTTGCCAGTGACCGTGACTTGGGCAGTGATGGGGAGGTTCATTATTTGATTTTTGGTAACAGTAGAAAGAAGGGTTTCCAGATCAACAAGAAGACGGGACAGATATATGTGTCTGGACTTCTTGATAGAGAAAAAGAAGAAAGGGTATCTTTGAAGGTACTGGCCAAGAATTTTGGCAGCATTCGGGGTGCAGACATAGATGAGGTCACTGTGAATGTCACTGTGCTTGATGCCAATGACCCCCCCGTTTTTAGTCTAAACATCTACAGCGTTCAGATCAGTGAAGGGGTGCCCACGGGGACTCATGTGACCTTTGTCAGTGCCTTCGACTCAGACTCTGTTCCCAGCTGGAGTAGGTTTTCTTACTTCATAGGATCAGGGAATGAAAATGGTGCCTTTTCCATTAATCCACAGACAGGACAGATCACCGTTACTGCAGAGTTAGATCGAGAAACCCTACCCATCTACAATCTCACGGTTTTGGCTGTGGATTCAGGGACCCCTTCTGCTACCGGAAGTGCCTCTTTATTAGTCACCCTGGAAGATATAAACGATAACGGGCCTATGTTGACCATCAGGGAGGGGGAAGTGATGGAAAACAAACGCCCAGGAACTCTGGTGATGACCCTTCAGTCCACAGATCCAGATCTCCCTCCCAATCAAGGCCCCTTTACCTACTATCTGATGAGCACAGGTCCTGCCACCAATTATTTTAGTCTGAACACTGCGGGAGTTCTGAGCACCACCCGAGAGATTGACAGAGAGCAGATCTCCGACTTCTATCTGTCCGTGGTCACCAGGGATTCTGGCGTGCCTCAGATGTCTTCCACGGGGACCGTGCATATCACAGTCATAGACCAAAATGACAACCCATCACAGTCTCGGACGGTGGAGATATTTGTTAATTATTATGGTAACTTGTTCCCTGGTGGGGCTTTAGGCTCCGTGAAGCCACAGGATCCCGATGTGTTAGACACCTTCCACTGCTCCCTGACCTCGGGAGTGACCAGCCTCTTCAGTATTCCGAGGGGCACCTGCGATCTGAGTTCCCAGCCGAGGTCCACAGACGGCACGTTTGATCTGACCGTCCTTAGTAACGATGGCGTCCACAGCACGGTCACCAGCAACATTCGAGTTTTCTTCACTGGATTTTCCAACGCAACAGTGGATAATAGCATCCTGTTGCGTCTTGGTGTACCGACCGTGAAGGACTTCCTGACCAACCACTACCTTCATTTCTTGCGCATTGCCAGTGCACAACTGACGGGCCTCGGGACCGCGGTGCAACTGTATGGGGCTTACGAAGGGCACAACAGAACGTTTCTTTTGGCAGCTGTGAAGCGAACCCACAATCAGTACGTGAATCCCAGTGGTGTAGCCACCTTCTTTGAAAGCATCAAGGAGATCCTCCTGAGGCAGAGCGGAGTGAAGGTGGAGTCTGTGGATCACGACTCCTGTGCTCCTGGCCCATGTCAGAACGGAGGGAGCTGTGTCAGGAGGCTGGCCGTGAGCACTGCGTTGAAGAGCCACGAGAGCCTTCCAGTCATCATCGTGGCCAACGAACCACTGCAGCCTTTCCTATGCAAGTGTCTGCCAGGCTACGCGGGCAGCTGGTGTGAAATTGACATAGATGAATGCCTCCCGTCCCCTTGCCACAATGCTGGGACCTGTCACAATTTAGTGGGAGGGTTCTCCTGCAGCTGCCCGGCTGGCTTCACCGGCCGGGCCTGTGAGCGAGACATCAACGAGTGCCTGCCTAGTCCCTGCAAGAACGGTGCCATTTGCCAGAACTTTCCAGGAGGCTTCAATTGTGTTTGCAAAACTGGATACACAGGTATGATGGTGTTAAGTTCTTTTTTTGCCCACCAAGACTCTAGTCATATAAAGTATAATAGAAAGCTATGAACTTTGTCATCTTCAAATGCTTTTCTGTAGAGAGTAGGCAGAATCATAGCAAATGCTTTAAGCGATTGCTATTGGCCAGACTCTGTTCTAGGAATTTTATCTGTATTATTTTCACTTCTCAGGAGCAACCTGACAAGTGGTAGGGATCATGATTTTATAGGCTTTAAGAAAAGGAAACTGACATAGAGAGAAATTGAGTTGGTTGACTAAGGTGACTCAGTTGATTTGTTGTAGAGTCAGGATGTGAGCATACACAGTTCATTCCGGGGTTTAAATTCTTAGTCCAGCTACTGAGTCTCTTGTATAAGAGCAAAAAGAGCATCTTATCTTCAAAAAAGTGTTCTAAAGTTAAAGGACATTGTGTATTTAAAGTATACGATCTGGACTATTCTGTGTTCTAAAGAACTGTCATTGTTGTAAATTTTTTATCATCATCAGTTTTATGATTTTCACCATAATTATCACTATGACTATTGAAATTTGACCCACACTGTGAAGAGATGAAGCAACAGTTGTGATTTAGATTGAGATCTCAATGTCTTGTTATTTCTAGTAGTCAGGTAGAAAGTATCATTGGCTGATTTCTCAGGTTAGTGAGAGCAAAACTGGGTCACAGTATACCTTGATATGTTGGGAGCAGAATTAAATATACAGAGAAATTATTTGATTACTCTTTGTCATTCTAATAGGACATGATGTATGTTTATAAATAGATCTTTGTTTCTATCCCTACTTATCTATCTGTCCATCATCTATTTATTAACTGATCTGTGGTTAGTGTACCTTCAAATGTATATACATTTATGCTGTAGATAAGTTTGAGAAGAGACAATTTCTTTTCTACAGTTTGTACACTACACATTTTTAGTACATATATCTTACATTGGTTGCCCTGTAGTGTTTATTAACTCAGGGTAAAGTACAGTGAAATAGGTAAAACCAGGATATACTTTTTAAAATTTTGTAGGTATATTGCAGAATACTATTTTAAAAGAAGCTTTTAAGATAATTGCATTTGTATATCATATTTTAAAGTGAAGCTTATCGTGTGTATACTTCATGGTTTTATATTTGGAAAACTGAATTGCATGATGATTATTCACAGCAAGTTTGAATAAGCCAAAGCAGATCATATAAGCTTTACCTTTTGACAAAATAATGTCCTTAAAATATAAATGAAGAAAATGGGCAGCGAACATATGTATGGAAAGAATCAGGGGATTTGACAGAACTTGATTTAGCTATAGCTTTTGGGAAGTCCCCTAATCTTGCTCACTTTCAACTCCCCCATATATAAAATGAGAATAGTCATAGTTACTTATCTTTTAGGGTTGTTGTAATAAATACAAATAATATTTGTAAAACTCCTAGCACAGATTCCAACTTTCAATAAATAGCAATGCTAATTAGTAGTTTAGTAGTAGTGTTAATATAATGGTCGATAGAGGTATGCTATAGAATTTCTATAAAGACAAGCCTCAGTGGCATAAGGTAGGCATAAGACTTACCAGAGTGTACTCAGGATCATGAATAACAGGGTTACACACATGTTATGAGTTCAGGATTTCCAGAAAAGCTTCCTCACTCTATCGTCCACCTCTCCCACCCCCAGCCTCTCCAAATGACTTCCTCTGTTGTGAATTCAACAATAAAGATGATTTATTTGTTCCATTTGAGTACAATACACTATTCCACACCTAGAGTGAGTTTATGCCTAGTCCTAGAATGAAGAAAGGGTGACTGCATTAGGTAGTACATGGGGTCGATGGAAAATGACATGAGTGTGAGTGAGGCACGTATGCTGACTTCAGCAGAAATGTTGCTTAAGGCATGGGGTGTAGAACTAGCCTTTTCGCTTTACTTCTCTCTAGTGTGTTTCTTTGTTTCATTATATTTAAACATACACTGCATCCTTTTCTAAATGTAGTTGTTGAAACTTTTAAGCATACCCATCCTTCATTATGAAATATTAATAGCACTTATCAAATGGCTACTTACAATACTGCTTAAAGTTCCTTGCATCACAGACATTATTATTCATTTAATTATTTAGTTCTTCTTACAAATCTATTAAATGAATATTCTTATCCTTCTGACTGAAAGACAACAAATTAGATCTTAGAGAGAATGCTCTTAAATGACTTGCCTCCAGCACGGCACCAGAAAGTGAGCTGAGTTTTGATGATAAGCTTTACTGCAGATCCTCTGCTCTTTAAATGCCTGTCACACCTCATCATACTTTGATCTGCACTTGCTAGAGAATATTATGGTGAGCCTGTGATATGAGCCTGCTTAGAATTTTTTGTCCATTAATCTATTAAACTGCACAGCAAACCTCTGAGATATGTATTAGAAGCTTCAAACTGGCTAAGTATGGAAGTCAGGGAAATTCACCAATAACCTCAGCCATAAAGACATTGCAAGTATTTCCAGAAAGCACTCCTGGTCACCTTTGCAGGGCTGTCATGAGTGATTCCCAGAACACTGACGGCTTTGTTTTTACCCTTCAGATTTTCATTCAACTCTCATCCACTGGCACAAGCTGAACCTGAGTCCTGCTGGAAGGGTCTGGAAAGATGATAGTTTTCTAACTTCCAGCCCTAACAGTATGGAAAGATACAAGTGGATCTGAGTGTCAACAGAGAATGTCTGACATAGAAAGATCCTCTTATTGCTCCTATTTTACCTTGTAGGAAGCTGAGCCTATGTTCTGGTGACTCTAGGGCCAGAGCTGCCAAAGCTGGATCATAACCATCACAACCTCTTTTTGTAAGGAAGTCATTTGAAGTAATGTATTAATGTTACATACTATCCCTCCTCAGAGCTCACTTCAGTTTCCATTTGCATAACTGTGGATAATCCAGTTGATCAGGAGTGATGTAAACAAGCATGCAGTTGAATACTTCATGTAAATCTTGTATTTTTTAATTAATATAATTCTTTGTTTACAAATTCTATATATATAGGCCATCCAGTAAAACAGGCAGTTAAGTAAAGCCTGATAGTTTTATTTCTTTGTTTTGTTTTGTTTTGCATTTCTTTGTACTCTTTTCATATACAAACAGTATATCAAAAATCATGGTGACAAATTGTTAATCCACACACTAAATTAGAAATGCATTGTTTAAATGTATTAATACATATTTATAATATATATTTAATGTTCTTTGGAAAGATAATCCCTCAAGTATCATTTTGAGTGCCTTTTCTTCAAGCTAGTCTTTACCAGGTAACCTGACTTAGAAATGTAATGCTAATGCTAAAATGTCTTAAAGAACCAATCAAAGCTAATAAGCTGTAAGACAAAATTCATACTGAAGCACACGTGTACCTCACAGAATGAATTTTTAAATATTCATTCTGGTTAAATTATACTTCTGTTAACATTAAGTACTATCGTGAAGCTGTCTTCAAAGTCTATATGTATTCAGATATTTTCTGGAACATCAGAATTATTTCAAAGCACCTGTATTTTCCTACTCTATTTTTGTGGACTTTCACTGCTGTTTTTTCAGTGTTTCTTAAAGTCTGTGGTATTGCAAATTGGAGCTGTGATAGTTTACAAACTTCCTGCTTAAAATAATTCTCAGCCACTGCCCCATCTCTGTCTCAAACACCCATACACACACACACACACACACACACACTACTGAATATTTCATGTGAAGTTAAAAATTGTGCTAAAGATTAGAAAAGAAAGTGTATATGAATTGAGGGAAGCTGAGAGACTTACCCTAAGAATCCCTCACAGGGAGTGGTTAAATGTTAGCTCAACAGGGAATTTTTGTGGAGAACATCCTGTAAAGATGCAAGTATAAAAATGAAAATTGTGGAATGATTACAACAAAAAGATATGAAGAGATATAGTTTTATTCCTATTGCCATAATATTCCTGATATATTTATTTTTTTATTTTCGAGTTTGTGATGATAGGGTCACATCATACACATGGAATAAGAATAATTTTATTTAATGAATTTAGAGGACTTTAGAGAAAACAAATTTGCTTGTATAACTTGTTTCTCAGATCAGTTTTTCTTCGTTACTAGAAAAAGAACCAAAAAGAAACTGAAAAAAGAAATAGTGAGATTTCATCTTCCATTACAATCACTTCATTTCATTAAGAGCATTCTCCTATAATTTAATTTTATATCACTCAATGGGGCTTTGATTAGCTATACATAGAGAATGTTAGACAAGATGAATACATTATAATATAGTATAGAACATGTGAAAAATTAAGATCTAGATTTTCAAAAGCATAATAGTATAAGAAATTGAATCAACTGTCAATATGCCCCAGTAAATCAAAAGAAAATATCTTTCATATTATTTATGCCTCAGAAGTTCAGGGAATCCTGGAGGAAAACATCAGTCTGACAACTACAAATCTATTATTTCATTTCCTGTACAAATGAAAGTTTCTTGTGTTTACTAGAACACTAATTAGAAAGTACAATTACAGACAGTAGCTACATAGCATTTGTCTTCCTGCTCCCAGGTTTTCTGTGCAGCACACCCTGCATTAAATCCTTCATAGTAATGAATGACATTAGAGAAGGCAGCATGGATATGGAACTTATTTCCAAATCTGGGTCTCTCTTAACAGAATTAGTTCAGAGCCCCTTTACCCTTTCCTCTTCACTTTCACACATCTGGATGCATTTTAGGTGTGGTATTTGGAGTCATTCCAGGAGTGTATTCCCAGAGGGGGAGGTTTTTCTATGCTCTCTAGTAAGTCCTGATATTTCAGGGGAGGATGAGATTTGTCCATTCATCACTTTTATGTCACTTGACAGTATAAAAAAGATTTTTTTTCCAGGCCTGTAAAGTTATTTACAGGTCGCGCATAGTAATTTTACCAAGAAACTTGGCAAACATTTGCTTTCATGAAAATGGGAGTTGTAACTAAGAGTCATTCTTTCAGAA